TTTTTTTCTTTTTTTCTTTTTTTGCTTCCCCCCCATCTCCCCCAGCGGGTTGTTACCTTCAATTACCGCTTTTCCGACCAATTCCCGTCTCCAAGCCGCCGCCCCCGCCTTCCCGAGCACACAAGCAACTCCCGGCAAAGAGGAGGAGGAGGAGGAGGAGGAAAAAAAAAGAAAAAAAAAAGAAAGAAAGAAAAAAAAAAATCACAAACCTCTAACAGCCCTGAGCTCTTAAAATATGATTCCAAAACCACTAACTGCAAGGAATAAAACAAGTTAGTAGTATTTAATTTTCTATTTAACATCAAGCTTGATAGGACCCAAAAATTTTCGGCTGTTTTGGTCTGATAATCTATAAAGACAGCATTTCTACACATATGCGTGATGACATTATCAGTCCTTTTTGTCAACATTAACCCATACTGCAGCAATTCAGCTTCTCAACTGAGAAATCAAAGGATCTTTTGTGTACACTGCTTCTCATTACCCAACAGAAACAGAAGATTTAGATATCAACATGAGCATTTTCTAGGAATGACATCTGAAGCGACACGACGTTCAATATTTTTAAACCTTCTTTTGTCCCTTTCAGATATGGTCACACGATGACAGTAATCCTCTCCTAAGTACATATATGCAGGTTCCCCTCTGATGAAACACCAGCTGGAAGGTGTTAAGATCCCAGATGTATCAGTTCTGCTTTATTCTCCACATCTGTGAGCACAAGCATTTGGGCTGACTGAAAACAGCTCTGTTGCTTTGGGTCCCAAAATAGAAGGAACAGTCTAGTCTGGGGATGTTGCAATGCTCCGAACATTGTTATAAACAGAAGGTGCACACGCAAGTGTTTTTAGAAGATTGCTGCTAAAAGAAAATGCACCTAAAACATGGATGAAGTTGCGTGGCAGAAAGAAATGGACCAAATTTCACTTCTGGGTGACTACTGAGCCTTTTTTCTCCAATACTGCGTTACCACAAGATGTCACACAGATCTGCTGCTTCATGAAAATCCCCCAAATCACCTGAAAAGTATACGAGCCTCCTCTCTACTCACTTCCAATAGTCACAGTTCACCGAATTCTTAAAAAGCAAAACAAAACAAACAAAACCAAAAAAACCCATAACAAACACTGTTTCCAGAAGAAGTCGTCTCCCTTTACAGAAAACTGATTAGTCTAAAAATTAACTCAGCAGCAGGGTACATGATGGGGAGGGAGAATTATTTTTCTCTTGGATTTGTTTTCTGGACTGCATCACTGCATGGACAGAAAACCAGAGGCAGGAATCCCTCATCAGGTCAGATTCGGGGAAACATTTATTACTTCAACAGCTGAGTCAACTAAGCCAGTTTATAAACAGAGAAAAGAGTAACACAACATCAACTTAATCAAACACGAATGAAAGCATCTGCTGAAAGGATCCTGTCCCTCCTTGCCATACCCTCTCAGTCCTTGGTTTCCATCCTTCCTCTTTCACTGCCATCACTATTTTCACGTGAACACCCAGATGAGCCATATCAGGGAACCTGACCGGACTAAAAATTGGCCCAGTAAAAAGGAAAGAAATATTTCTCATCTGGATCGCCTCATCTGACTTGCTATGTGCCCGAATGACTAGCAAACACTGGCACTTGGGAGAAAAGGCAAGTGTGAAAGCGCTCCTTCTGCAGCAGCCAACACATCCTTTCTCCACCGCAGCTTTTCTCCGTTGCGCTGGCTCAGCTGTTTGTGTCGCCATAGCCAAGCTGTGAAGCAGATCAGGCAGAGCACACGAGAAGGAGAGTGTTTTCTTTACCACAATTTTTTAGCCTGATCAGTTCCTCAGTCTGGAGTACTGTGCCATTTATGTGCGGCTGCTTTGACCTGCTGCCCTCCTCCCCAGTGGGGTTTGTAGCTTCTGCAATCCTGTGAAAGCAATCTCTGCTTCCAACTGCTCTCTTCCCTCTATCCTTCCAAAAAAAAATGAAACCCCATTTTTCAGAAGGGATGGAGGGAAGAGAGAGGAGCCAGGTTTGTCTGGAGCGAGATAATGGCAGTTTGCTGTGCAGCACACGTGTGCCAGCCTGCGGCACGGGCTCTGCCCACTGCCTTCCCTCCCCTCCTCAGGATGCTACTGCAGGTCCCGCTCCTGTATTTCCATATTTTGACAAATTTTACATCTGGGATATTAATTCCTTTTCCAAAGTTAACTGATATCAGCTAACAGACTGAATACAATGACAAACAAAAAGAGTAACTGCCTCTGCTCCCCATTATTTCTCATAGGAACTACAGCTTCCCATTGGAAACTACGACAAGAAGACACTTTACAACCCAGCCTGGCAATAATATAAACACTGGGAAGGTTATATATGACTACTTTCCAAATCATTATTTTGATACTTCTAAGTCCTCTACACCATCAGCTTTTATGTCCTTTCTCAATCCTACTCATCTCCTTCCCCCTTTTCCTACTCTATACCACCTTTGCATTATTATATGACATTATTTGAAATGAAAAATTCAGACAAAGCAGAAAAAAACCCCAAACAACAAATTAACTAGAACCTGTAAAGGACAGTTAAAGAAAACCAAAATGGATCTTCAACAACAAAAAGTATTAATACAGCCAGCCTTTCATGGTACTGCCTTGTCCTCCTGTGGTACTATTGCTACAACACCGAAGTGACTAAATACAATGCAGTTATCAGTAACAGGATGAAAAAAAGCAGCGGAACTTTTCTGGGGAAGAAAGTTTGCAGTTAGTAATTTGATAGTACTACAGCAAGCTTTACAAATTAGTAAGTGTAAAATAAATAGCACTGCGATCCTAATAAGCTGCTGCTCCTAACCATCCCTTGGGCTGCAGTCCCCCTACACATCAGTCTCCAGACAAAGTTCTTCCCCCTTCCCTGCCAAGCAGATAAATGGTCACCAGCACCCCGTCCCCAGCTGTCAGGGGGATGTGGCTGGAAGCAGGCGAGGGCTGCCACTGCTCCCTGCATGCAATCGCTCCGGCGGGGGCCGGGGGAAGCGGGGGGTGTGGGGAGGCTCTG